ATATATATATATATTAAGTTATATTATATATGTATATTTTGATGTATATATATTAAAAAACATACATATATTATTTATTTTGTATAGTTTCTACTTTATTTATTATTTTAATAAAGCAATTTATATATTTTTCATTTTTTTAATGAAGTGAATGAATGATAATGGAAATACTTTAAAATATATTTTAATTAAAAGTATACTTTTTATGAATAATTATATTAAAAATATTTTTAAAATCATTATAATGATGATTCCTTAATAATATTACATTAATATAATAGGAGAGTGATAATATAATATGTGTATATTTAAGAAATAAAAGTATAATTTATTTAATATTTTAATATATAAAAGTTGAATAGTATAATACTTACATTTCTCATGAAAAAATATAATTTATATTAATGATATTAAATTAAATAAATTAAATTATATATTTTATTATAAAAAGGAACAATATCTTAAAAGTTAAAAGAGAGTAATTTACTTTTTTAATTATTAAAATAAGTTTCTTGTCAACCCTTTTATAGTCAGATACTTATTTTTTTTTATTGGATGATGTGATTAATATCAAGAGCTTTTATAAAATCTAAATTGATAAAAAAAAAAATTTTATAAAAATACTTATCTGTAAAAAAAAATGACGAACGGAGTAAAAGAATCTTGAATTTTTTTTGAAAAAGTTTTTTTTTTCCAATTACAACTGATTTTGATATCTTATTAATTACACCTTTTTAATTATCTTAATTAAGTTTTTATGGTTTTTATACTCTCATGTTTTTATTTCACTTAATTGCTTACTTTCCCCCCCTCAACTTTAGCGATTTTGCTAATTATGTTATTGATTTTTCTTTTAACATATTCTATTCCTTAATTTTCAAACTTTATTACCCTAACGTTAATTGAATGTGTCTTTGTTAATTATAATTTGAAACGTGATGATGTACATAATTATTGATGCAATAATTTATGCGATAAAGGATTAAATTGTATTTTGTCTCTTATTTTTAAAATTTTACATATTTTGTTATATAATTTTTGTTTTTGCACATTTTACATTTTATCTTTCAAAAAATTGAATTTTTTCCCTCTATATTGTAATTAAACACCTTTATTTAGAATTAAACAATAAAAATAGAAATATGAAATACATAAAATAGAAAGTAAAATACATCAAAATAAGTAAAATAATAATAATAAAAAATATCAAAACATGTTACAACAATATCATGGTTATTTTTTTATGAATAAAATATATTTTTTCCAATTGTTTTATCCTTTTTAACGCCTATCACTCAATAATACACTTTTGCAATTGATTAAATACCGGTATTTATCTATTAAATCTAGCACTAATAATATTAATAAAATTCAACGAAAGAATAATATTAAATATTTTAAAATATAGGATTGAATTAAATATTTTTTTTAAAAAATAATTTGATAATGTAAATAACAAAAGATGAAAAAGAAACAATTTAACTTAAAAATATACTATTAGTTTAGTTGTTATTTTTGCGTATCCAAAAAAGATGACGTGATTTTGTA